TGTTTAACAACCCCTTCTGTGAAGAAATTCTCCCTGAGAATTCCTTTCTGGAATGTGAAATATTCTCCTACCATAAATTGACAGTGCTGGGCAGTCTTACACATAGTCATAACAGCAGTCTAAATTCATTTAGAGGCAAGATTTTAAAAGTTTGGCTGCTCAGAGTATCAAAAATATTAAGCACCCAGCAATCACTAAGTTATGTTATTGAGAATATTGAGCACTCAGAGCTTTGGAAAATCAGGCCTGACATTGAGCATTTGTATGCCTGCAAAACATAAATTCGGTGACAAATATTCTGTAGTTGGAAGGATCAGTCAGTCCCCTGGGGGCATCCTGTGCCCACCGTCCCGCTGCAGAGAGTGGAATGGAACCCCCAGAGCTCCTGGGGCTGTCGTTACTAAATCCAGCCATAGAGGGCAGAAGCAGCCCAGCACTTTTCTAGGCAGCTCAAATACAGACTAAAAGTACTTCAAAATATGACTTTAAAGCCTGTCTTTATATGGAAAAGCCAAATAAATAGCCAGCAATTTTTAGTGCAGAATACTTTATCTACTACCTTGTTAACTTCCTTAATATGGCATCATTCATAGAAACTGAATCCCATGATAAATTTTTAAGTATTACTATGATCCATACAATAAAATTCAAAAGATTTAAAGTATGACATCTATCATTAAAATATATTTTCTCATTTTCATTTAATATATAAAACATAATTTGGTTATACAGACAAGAGAATGCCCCAGAATCTAGAAATTGCGGTCAGGCATTTAAAACCTTAGAAGTAATAAAATGTCAGACTGGTAAAATAAAAACTCAGTTCTAAGAAAGCAAGAAAGGATCAGAGGAAAAGAAGGTACAATAATTGAGTTGATGCAAGGTTATGGATTTTTTTTTTTTTAAAGGCCAGAATGAGATAATGAGTTTGAAACATGCAATTTAAAAACCGCAAAGTCACAAAATTTTATAGTGATTAATAACAAGACTAATGACATAGTCCCCCTCATTAAAAATTATCTATCTTATACCACCTGCCTAGTTCTGTCCTTTTAGCTCCAAATTGCACAAGATTAAGGAAAACAGTGACAGACTATACTCATGGTGTTCTCAAGCCATCCTAGTGGCAGAGGAAAACCTGGTTTAGGAGCTAGGAGAGAAAAAATCCTGGAACATAAATGCAGAAAGAAGGAATACTTACTTCTCTTTAAGTCTAGGTGTTGTATCAATTTTACTGGTCACACATACATATCCTTACAACATCCCAAGCCAGATGACCCTGCTTGAAATTTAATATCGAAAGCACTAGTTGCACCGTTGTGATTCCACAACATAATCTGTTATTATCAAATATATACATAAGATATTCTAAATAGCTCATATAAAATAACAGAATGTGGTTTTGATTCAAGATTAATCCATTACACAAATAACAGGACATGAAACAATAATTCAGGTCAACCACTATAGCTCCAAAGTATTTTTGAAAATAAAATACCTAATATTTCCCATCCAATTATGTAATATTAAGTCCTTTAAAATGAAGGGACAAGGATCATCAATCTAACAATTATTAGGGAAATTAAATTAATCCAAGGAATAAAAAAGTTGTTTTACAACCAATTTCTAGGAAGTTTTGACTTCATGATTGCTAGCTAAACCTGAGAGTTGATCTCAATCATTTAAGATTAGCTTATTATCATGTTAGATAAACTGAAGGCATTTGCAAATTATTTTCACTGCTTTTATACGAGGTTTGTGTTAAAATCCAGTCACATAAAAAGTGCTGGATTATTTTTAAAGTCACATTTCCTTCAAATAATACTTTGAGCACAATGTCAATCTTCTTACATACAACTATAAAACTCACAGGTTTCATCTCTTCAGAAGTATTTCCAATACAAAACTTTGAACAAGTAGAAAAATGTAGATGTTTCTACAAACAAGAAAAATCATAGTTTGCTAATGTGCTGGCTTGCCATTTGTAAGCAGTGACTTGACAAACTAAATAATTGCAAATTGAAAGTGTTAAATGACAATTTAATGAATGCTGTTTCAATCTGGGTCTTGATGCTAACACTGAAGCTCTAAACCATGCTTTTATGTATGCTTCAAGTAACATCACAACAGAACTTTTGGAGCACTGGCCCTTTGGTTTCAATTACTGTAAATCTGCTTTTAGACCATAGGCATAGCTCAGCTTTTTTGGATAACACTGGGCATTGCTGAAATTTGTAGTCAGAAAAAATTTAATATGGAGACAGTAATTAAGAGAAGAACATCAATTTAAAACAATCATCCCAGCTAGGGTCACAGGTACTAGACCTATCTCAGGAAAACACTACTAGAATATTTAAGCTCCATTACAGTCAGAGACAGGGCCAGTATCAACAGAGCCTAAATTGTACCTATTGATGGCTGTTGACATGGCAGCTTGACCATATTAAGAGTGAGAGTTCTTTGCTAGGACAGTTTTTTACCCATCTTACTCAATGCATCAGCTTATCACAAGGGTCAAATGATCACTGGAGCCAAAGCAAGGCAACATGGCTGGAAGCAAAGGTTGCAACTTCATGAGCTTAAGCCAGAGCTAGAACAAAAAAGGTTTATTATGCTCTGAAGGGCAGAGAGACAAACAGAAACACTGCAAGGCAAAGCATGCGAAACTGGAGCAGGGCTGGATTCCAGCATCCAGGGTGGCCTCTGCCGACGGCCTGGCAGTGCACCCGCAGGAAACAGAACTGTCACGCACATTGCCAAGGGAGCCCTGCGTTGCAAGGGAGCAACGACAAGACAAAGACCCCGCGAAGTCCAGACGAATACTTTTCAAGGTGGAAAAAAATCCAGCTGTATTTGAGAAAGTGATGGGCACAATTTAAACCCATGCTGGTCAGAGTAAGTGTAAAGTGAGAGTCTCTTTTTTCACTTGCTGATTCCTTTACTCTGGGAAGAACAAGCTAAGCCAAATGAATCAAATAATGCAACTCTGCTTTTAAATTCTTTTCCCCTTAGCACTGGGTGGGACACTCCTAGTACCTCACACTAAAGATCCTGCTGGTTACGTTTGCTAATGGAGAGCAGGATACCAGGGCCGGTGCTATTATTATTCTGCTACTATTCTACCGCTTCTCTTAAATTGCTTTGTCAGACTTCCCGTCACTTGAGACAAGTTCCATTATAGCAGACATTAGGTGTATTTAGGTATTTGCCAGATAATAGAGTAAGGTTCTTAAGCAATCAATCTGTATAGATTAGTCTAATCTGTTGCTGCTGGAAACTTTGTTTCCAGAACCAAAGTAGACAATAGTTTCAAATTACCTGCAATGAGGTTAAGCTATGGGCAATATATGTTTTGAGGTGTGAAGAAAAAGAAAATAAAAGAATGCGTTCCCAATATTGTCTTTGCCTTTACCAGATCAGGCAGGTATCTGAATTGAGATTTCAATTTCCCTAAAAACTATTCCTAATACATCTGGCTCAACTTAAATTGCTTTACTTGCGGTTTTCTTAAGTATTTTGGAATGCAGGATACAACAGAATTCAGTTAGAATGTTATTTCCCAAATCAAACGAAACAAACAAACAAAAAAGTTTCAATATCTATATTGAAAAATATAAAAGATTGTTATTTCCATATTAAAATAAGATTTCCAGGAGCAAAGCCAAGCACTTCAAGATTTTTAGTATTCTCCATAAAAGTGAAGGCAATGAGCCAATGAAGTTAAAAACACAGAAGGGCCAATATCTGTCACCCAGTTCTAAAGTAATGCAGTTTTTCAGTGATTTTTCAGAAAATATAGAAATATTTTTTATTTAAACTCTCATAGCTCAAACTATAATTTAAAATACTAAGTAAGGACTGTCAGATCATCCCTTCCTTCAGCTTTTCCTAGTATGAGGCTACATAAAATGATTTATTTCCATCACCCTATTTTCTCAACTTACCTTTCACCCTATTGGATAACAGATATGGATACAAGCATGAGGAAAGGAAGAGCAGTACTGCATCTGTTCATGAGATAATGTAGAATTTATGTCCACCAAGAAACACAGGCTGGAGTCTCACTGAAGGTCACCAGCACTTAAGGCAAGTGCTTAGAGCTCTGCTGAACAAAGAGCAGCATAAACCTGTACTTACAGTGCTTCCCTACATTGTGGCCATGAAGAGTTGGGTGGGTTTTTTTCCTCACATGGCTCTCCTTGACTTCAGGCTCTATAGCAAATATGAGGATAATAAACTTTCACGTACTTTCATGTGCTGTTTGATAAAATTAACGGCAATCGTCTGGGTATCTGGTCTGGTCCCCACTGATCTGATCCCATGAAATGCTAGATTCTGCCATTAAATATAATAGGGCAACTCTCATAAGTGGAACACTTATACTGACAAGAGAGAAGATAACCAAGTTGAAGAACTAAATAGGCAAATAACCTAAATTAATTAAAATTATATAAAAAGATAACTGCCACCTTCTTTTAACTGAGCAACTGTTAAAACTTAAGAGTCAGTTGAATATTAGTCCTTCTATTGGAGACATCTTTTTCTAAAAAATTATGTTCTTTATGAGAACTATCATATTCTTTATAAATAAGCTATTTAAACTCCAATGTGACAAAATTTCCCATAGCAAAATCTATTTTGCATATAGTTTATTTCAGACTTGAAACAGACTTCTTCTAAAACCATAAAGCTTTGTCAAGCCTTCTGCAGTAATTCATAGGAGCTGAAATTCTTGTGCAACCTAGGGTTTGCATTGATTTAATCTGCAAAAGTATCTCAAAATCTCTGAAAATACTTACTCAAACATATAGGAAATGTTCACTTTTCCCACAAAAAGTAGATTATAATAATACTTCAAGTATTTACAGTTTATTTGAATGAAAATTATAATAAACTTTTGAATCTGAGCATAAAATCATAATTATTATATCATTACTTAATACAGGTTTATGAGTAATTCTTCATTTTCTGTAGTAGTACTGTAACAGCAAGCCATCCTTCTACTCTAGCAGGCTGGAGGTGAAAGTATTTTTCACCATTAGAAACTGAGATTCTCTGTGTGATCTTTTCAGTTTTGCACGACGGTTCTGGAACCAGATCTAAAATAGAAAGAGAAGGGATGCTTCTCAGAAATACAGCAGTGGAAGCAGAATAATATTTGAAACTTAAAAGTATTTGCACAGCATGACAATATTTTGTGTGATGACAGCAGTTTGCAAGTTCAAAACAAATTTAAAATCTGCAGATGACAGCATGTAGCTATCTGTAATTGTACCACCACAGACAAAGAAAAGAATATCCCCTGGTTGACTGGAAAGCGAGATCTCAGCTTCACTGCAATTAATGTAAAAACTAGTATTAAATTCAGTGACGGAATCAGATCCTGGAAGATCCTGAACATCTGGAATTCACACATGTCTTATTTCACATGTCACAGGTGCTATTTCTTCAGCTGTTTAACTATTTGAAGCAGCAAGTATCCCATTAAGTTCAATATAATACTTGCAACAAAAGCCTGATAAACAACAAAGTGAAGCCTAAATTCTCATGTTTACAGTATGCTTCTTATCACATTGAACTTCCTGTAAATCAATAATTAACATCCCTGAATAGATTTTGATTTTGGCCAGATAAAGATATAAGTTCAAACACCAGTTTAACACATCTATGCTCTGCTGGCAGTCTCACAAAGTATGCAGGCTGTCACACAAATTATGTCCATACTTGTTTCAAATTAATTTTTCAAATATGGTGACAAGGAAAACACAAAAATTATTTTAAGTAAATGATAAAGTTCTGCATATAATAACTAGAGGTTAACAGAGCAGATATTGTGTAAATATAGTGATGAATACCTCATCAATGCTATGGAAGTCTCTAGACTTCAGAAGCAATTCAATGGTTTTCATTTCATGAATCATTGAAGGTATGTTTCATGTATATACATTGATTTAAATTGAGAGTATTAACATCCTCATTAGTGCTGTCAAACTACTTACATATATAACCAGAGAGTATATATAGCTGGAATTACAGAAAAGTTCAAATAAATTCTTAATTACCTGGATCCTGTCTTCATCTAAATCTAATTTGCGAGCTAACTCTTCTCTAATATCAATGCCGGGGTAGGAGTTCATTTTAAAAACATTTTCCAAGACTTCAATCTGAGGAGATTAAAATACACTTGTTGAATAGTTAACACTATGTTCATAGCAGTAATACATAAAATAAATAAAATAACAGCTTAGTTTGTTCAACTTCTGATCAGTGTTTGCACAATTCTGATTCCATGCATAAACACAGATCTGCTGAAATTAGCAACATTCCTGTTAATTTACACTAGTTCCTGATTATATTTCTCTCTGCAGAGGTACATCACACAGAACTTACTAGCTGTTAGAAGTTTCTTCCAACATTTTAGTAAACGACATTGTTACTCACTCGTTAAAAGCTAAGGAAAGCCCTACCTGGTTTCTAGTGAATGCAGTTCTTGGTCTTCTACCCCTGTACCAGCTCAATTCTCGTTTGAAGGACAGCCTTTCAGTTACTGAAAAATATTTTTCACATTTCAAAACTTTTTCCTCTTGCACTGGATCACTTCTAGCATGAAATAATGGATTCTCATAGCAAACAACAGGGATTTGCAGATGGGGATTACTGTCATCACCTAAAACTAGAAAGAGGAAGGAGAGCTTCAATTTACTGATTTGCAGTAGAAACATGCCAGTATTTTTAAAGGGTAAAGAGGTTACAAAACAGACTGACTTACCCACACTGGTGCATGCATCCATCCAGGGTCTGTGAGGTTTCCCAGCTGGAATGTCATCTTTTTTCTGCTCCAGTCCCAATATACTCTCAATTGAAAAGGAGCACTGTGTGGTTTTACTCTCTCCAAAGCTGGGCACCCTGTGCAGATCCGGGGAGGCCGCGGTGGCGGCAGCACACAGCGAGGGACCAGCCATGCCTTCGCCCTCAGTCAGCATAGCAGGAGTACTGTACTTGCATTTCTCCACAAGTCCTCCTTATAGCTATGTTGACAAGGGGGTTGGATTTGCAACGTCATTAATTAAAATCTTTTATTAGAAAGTTTTAGCATGTCAATGAAAACTCTCCCACCAAGAGGCACGAGGAGTTAATTGTTTATTTGTTTGCAAGTAATTAGCAACTAATGGTGACACTAGGGGGGCCACCAAGGGGGACAAAAAGTGTTATCTCTCCTAACCAGAGCATCGACTTAACTTTCTCAAAAGAAGCTGTGCACAAATATAGTACTTCTCTTTTATTCAAAATCATTAATGTATAAAATCAGTTTTTAAAAAAACTTTATACTCTAATGGACTCCACTTAACTAAACATAGAAGCATGATAGGAAACCAGTCAAGTAATAAGTAATCTCATTTAAGTGAATTTCCTTCCAAGGAAATTTAAAAAATAATCTCTTAATGCTATTAGGGTAATCCCGATGAAAATGCCTCTGTTTTTTCATATGCATATGTAATGGTGAACGTGGTCAATAAAACAACAATAGCTTTTGGCATAAGACACTGTGCAGTGGGTTGGCAGTGTTGTCAAAGCTCAGTGTAATTGCCTTCCAAGTGCCTGGATTAGTTAATAGGAACAGTTGCACCAACTATTTTAAATAATTCATGCATTCATTTTTCTTATTAAAATAACTTTGTTGCAGCCTTTTTGAAACATACCAGATGTGAAATTTCCTGATAATTCTTCACTACATAAAAGCAAAACTTGAAGTAATAGAAGCAGTACACTCAAATTTACAGGTTTAATAGCATCCTTTTTCTTGTAGATGTCTCTCCCTCCTTGTAGATTTATAGCAAACAAAGGTATATTTAAATCCTACAAAGCCAATACTTAAAATCACAAAAAAAAAAATATGAGTAATGGGAAGAAAGGTGATAAAGGCTTTGTAATGGGGCTCAAAGTCTGACAGAATTCTGATTGCATCCATTACAAAGAAAATTGCGACTATAACATTTTCATATTCAAGCTCATCTGTCACACAGCAGTTTACATCACATGCTCAAAAAACAACTTTTGGTTCAGGACAAGAAAAGGAGAAATTTCTGTAGAGACACTATAAAATCAAGATTTGTCAAAAAAATAACAGGCAAAACTGAAAACAATATTTTTATTTCAGGACGAAAAGTTACTCCTCCTACTGGCCTGACTTCGTGTTGTGCAGTGAGATTGTTGTCAAACCAAACTATTAAAAGTGTGACAATTGAAGAAGTCATCTTACCAAGGACACTTCTCACACATATCAATGGATCTTGAAGCAGCATGCATCCACCTGCAATGTTCACTCGCAAGATGAGCTCCAGTCACCGTTTATAGACCTTAAGCCTTCTCTTGAAAACTGTATTTCATTGTTTGGGCTCATTAGTATCAATCAATTCTACCTTGCAACCCAGTTGAAATTACCTATAGACTTTTAACTAAATACCTTGGCAGGGGCAATTAGAGCAACACAGCAAACATTAAGTTGGGAATCCTAAGTAATCAATAATAGGAAAACTCACTGCTCCTTGGATATGCAAATCCAATCCTCTTACAGCATCACATACTTGATGAGGCAGCAAACTAATCTCCCTTTCAGACCTTGCACCACTGGTTTTTGCCCAGGGACAGTGGAGTTCATCTCTTTAGTAGATGAAGCTTTCATTCTTCTGAGATGGGAAGCTTCCAAGGGTTTACACCAGCTGAGGAGATCACACCTAGAGCTCTTGGGGGGCTTTGGTCTGAAGCCCCAGTTCTTCCTCTTGCTGCCTTTTGCTCCTCTCCCCCACTGCTACATCACCTTTTACTCGAGCTGGGCAATATTTTCAGCTTTTTAAAAAGGTATAAATGGTATATATTATCTTTCCTGATTAGTTATCACTCCAAAAATTTGCCTTTCACCTCACCTTTCTCACAACATCTTCACCCAGTAGTATGTCACCACCTCAGAAGTCATGCTGCATAAAACCCTCTTTCAAATAAGTTTTTAATGTGAATAGCAAATATATTCAAAGCCAACTTCAAAATTCCCAAGTTTTTTTTAAAGCAAGAATACCTCAAAACAGTAACACAAATTTCCACAAAACTAAAGCAGTTAGCTATTTATTGGCTGAAATAAAAGCTGTTTTGACACAGGGAGATTGAGTGAATGCAGGTAAACTCAAGGTTAATCCAAGGTTGCCACTAGCAAAAGTATGAGAAACAGTGTGTTAAAAAGTGGGAAGCACTGCAAATAAAGCCTACCTTATCCACACAGCTACTTTCACCCTCCAACAGAGGCAAAATGTTCTCTCCATAAGGGCACACATCTGGAATCTTCTAAAGATCTGTTTGCTGCTCTTCTCCCCGTTGACAATGTGCCAAGTGCTAGTTCCCCAAATTTTTAAGGCCTCTCAGTAGATATTCTGCAGAAAGAACAGCAACAAGAAAACAAAACAAATAAAATCCAACCCCCTCAAAGAACCCCAAACCAAAAAAAAAAACCCCGCCCCACAAATCACAAAGCCCAAACAACAGCAAAACCCTCACATACTAACAAAAGGTCTACAATGATGAAAACAGTGTAACACTAAAACCACACTTTGAGGATGCAGAGGGATTCTTCAATTAATTGCTATCACATTTGTTGCAGTCAAATTTGTAGCTCAAGTAAAACTTTTGGATACCACCTACAGCTGTAAATACACAAAGCTAACTAAACTAAATTCACTTAAAGTTACTACTTTCCTGAATTCCACTGGGAAAATTATCTTACAGTACAAAACAGAATAATTTCTTACAGGAGACTGCTGTAAAACTTGGCCACAAGTTAACTGTCTCAAAACCAGAATGTAACTATATTTATAAGTCATGAGCCAATGTTAATGTTCTGTTCCATGGTTGCAGATACAAGATTTAATCTTTAAAACACCTTGTAAGAAAACCCTCAATTAATACCCTTATTGACAGGGGAAGGGAGAGGTGCTGTGACTTGCTTCAGTCAGGTGAGTGAGTCACCAGCTGAGCTGGTAAATTAATTGACTGAGCATAGTATTAACTTGGAAATTTCTTCACTACTCCCTACAGGGAAAAAAAACCCAACACAATAGCAAAAAAACAAAACCAACCAAACAAAAAACACCCACCAAAAAACACAAACCAACAAACAAAAAAACCCCATGTCAAGAATCTCTAATTGTTTGCAATTTAACACATCAGCCCTGTTCTTCATCTACTTTTAAAAGTAAATCATAACCTGATACAACATAAAGAATGATCTCCATAGCAAGACTGCACAATCATTAATCATTTGCTCTGATGAATGACTTCATGTACTTTCTAATCCAGTCTTAGACCTAGTCCCAAAAAGGCAAAACCAACAAGGGAACAGCCTTTTTCTTTTTCCCCCACCTATCATCAAGTCTACCAAGTCTTGCTCTCTAAAACTACCTGAAAGGAAGTTGTAGCCAGGTGGGGTCAGTCTCTTCTCCCAGGTAACAAGTGACAGAACCAGAGGAAACAACCTCAAGTTTTGCCAGGAAAGGTTTAGATTGGATATTGGGAAAAGTTTCTTCATGGGCAGGGTAGTCAGGCACTGAAAATCACCATCCCTGGAAGTGCTCAGATGTGAGGATGTGGGACTTGGGCACATGGTTTAGTGGTGAACACGGGCTGCTGGATTAATGGTTGGACCCAATGACTTTAGAGGTCTTCTCTAACCTTATGGATTCTATAATTCTAAGTAATTTCAGAGCTAAATCAGTTTGCAAGTCCAACCAATGATCTGTTTTGATTCCAATGAGCCCTCAGAGTAGTTTTAAGCATTTAGAATTTACTACCTACCTATAGCACTGCACTTATTCAGTCTAAGAGAGAAGAGATACTACTTCCCAATATCTAATTGAGAATCTCACCTGCCTCAGCTTAAGGCCTCTTGACCTCTCACTGCAAGCACAGCAGAAGTGGCTGGCCTTCACCTGGGGCCCATCCACATGGCAGGGATAAGAGGAGACTTCCCAAAAGGGATGCTCCAGATAACATGGCAAGAGTGCCAAAGATGCTCCATAACCGCAGGGACGCAACAGGGCTCCCCAGCTATGGAGCGGCCCAGAAGGTAAATCCGTAAGGAGACAACAACCTTCGGAGCACAGGCAGACAGGTCTGGGAGGACACTTTGCTTAACATCCATGACCTACACTGCCTGGCACTCACTTCAGCAGGGACACGACCTCAGCTGCCTCCGCTCCCCACAGAGAGTCGCTCCCAGGACACCGCCGGAGCCTCCGCCCTAAGGGGCCGCGCGCGAGTGACCCCGCCCTCCGCCCCCGCACTTGCGGGCGAACTGGCGGGCCCGTCAGCCAATGAGCAGCTCGACAGGGGAGCGGACGGGCCAATGGGCAGCCAGATAGGGGCGCGGACAGACCAATGGGGAAGCCGGGCGCGCGGGGGGAGGGACGTCCGGCGCGCGGCGGGCGGGGGTCGGTGTGGGTCGGGTCCGGCGCGGGGGGAACGGAGCCGCGGGGGCTCAGCGCCGCTGCCGCCATGCCCGGCATCGACAAACTGCCCATCGAGGAGACGCTGGAGGACAGCCCGCAGGTGAGACAGGCCCGGCGGAGGCCGTATCGGGCCCAGCCCCTGCTTCCCGGGCCCAGCGCTGTTTCCCTGTCGCTCCCGGCCCCGGGAGAGCCGCGGCGGTGGCCGTGAGGGAGGGGGATGCCCCGGCAGCGCGGCGGGGACACTGCCTGCATGGCCCCGCGGGGCTCCGACAGTCTCGGCTCGGGCTTTTCGCCCCGGCCGTGCCCTGCGAACGCCTGCCCGGAGCTCCGCTGGCCCCGCCGCCGTTCCCGGGAGTGCTGCGGGCCGGGCGCGGGGCCGCCGCTCCGGGCCCGGGCGCTGCGGCAGCTCCGTCAGGGCAGCGCCGGCACCGGCTCCCTGATCCCCACCCCCGCCTTCGCACCCGGGCTCG